GTATTAGTGAGTAGATCTAATCTGTGTTTACTTTTGTGACATATGATTCATCACTCGAGAAATGTCTCCTATTAAGTATTGTTTACTGACGTGAGAATGATCATATGTCACATTAGAAAGATCATATTTGAGTTCCACATACACAATAACATGTGTCTATAATCAATTAGGTAGACACAAAGGAAAAAACATGAAATAGACAACTAATTCATAATTTAATTCATTTGTAAAACGACGACTAAGCATTGCCGTAGGAGAACAACATTTGATCATGAAAGTTGTTTGTATTTAACATTATGAACTAGATCTATTTTTCAAAGATGTTCTCGTTCGGTCAAGATAATGCATGATTTTTATACACTATTGTCAAGAACATAAAAGAAAACACACACTTGATACTTTAATGAATACTTAATTTCTCGTTCAATTAAAAGTTCTATTTAGTATTTATCAAATAGGAACTTATATAAATTGTGGTGTGTTGTTGATTTAATTGTAGCGTAGTTTTTTCTTTATACAATTGAAATGAATAATTAACGATTGGAATAGTTGTTGAATGAGAAATTTATTCTTGTTGGCATTTTTTATTTAAAAGCAAAATCAATATATTCATTATTTAACCAAATACAATAATAATCTAGAGAATAACTATGCTATATTATATTGTCGTGTTCGATTATATTTCATTACCCAATGAATAAACCTAAAAGAAACATTGAGTGAAGTTTGTCGTAATAATAAAACAAAATTTAATGAAAAAAAAAGATAAATGATGTTATAAAAATTAAGAATAAAAAAATATATAAATTGCATCTTACCATTCATATTGAATTCCTATTTGAGAAACTAGTAAAATAAATTGAATTTGTTACAGTTTCATACTTATAAAATAAATGATTATGATAACTAATTACACACCAATATCGACTTGACAAATATTCCAATAAACGATGAAATGATTCATGAAGAATATTAAGCATATGATGAAAAATTAATTTAGTCAGACTTTTATTACTAAATTCATTAAATGATGTATCTTTGAAAATAACTCTTGTCTGTTTTCAAGTTACACATACTATTGATTAATCATATGTCGAAAATAATATCTAGAGTAACACACTAAGATCTAATTGGTCAATAATTGAAGTCCATAAACTATATGTATTACAGTTTATTGCACATTCATTTGGTTGAGAATATGTTACAATTATCTGGTCCTGTGAAGAACATTATCGATATTCTTTCTTATTTTTAGTCAACTGGAACTTATCACATTCATTTTTAAAATAAATTTATGTACTTGAAATATATTTTTCTTTATTTTTTCTTGGTAGAAAATATTTTTAAAATGTTGTAAGTTTACAGTTAAATGTACTAAGATGAAATGGTTAACCGAAATTTTCGCGCACAACACTTGCGTGAAAAGACATCTCCGCGCGTCACACTACCGTGTTAATACTTATGTGCAAAATGAATTTTTTTCTGTCCTGTTTAGGTTAAGTTAATAGTTCTTTCGAACTTCGTGAATAGTTGTCTACAAAAAAATGTATACGAAAAAGAACAGTCATATATAAGTAAGGAAAGGAGGACGGTTAAATAATATTTTACAGTTGATGAATAGCGATGGTCACATGCGAAAATTAACTATCGATCTAACCATTTTAAATTAATCGTCACGCAAAATGATGTTAAAATCCCAAGAATGCGAGTGTATTCATCATTTTTCTCTTCACTCAAACTAACATCCACATCCTAGTATCGCGCGCGGACATGTCTCCGCATGAAAGTGCCACATCCCGAAATGAAATCTAGAATTTACATATGCCATTCAGTACTAGTTATTCATTGTCTTGATGATTGTAGTGGTTTTATAAATTGCTAATTTTCTCTTATAAATGATATACCATGTGTAACGATCCATTGCATCAAAAGTTGTCGAATCAATAGCATATACTGTTTTTAAAGCTTATTTATTTTTCAAATTAGAGTTAACTATTATCAATGTCAAATTATAATGAGTATGAATGGTTTTTTTGTATACTTAGACTAGGTGAATGGTTAGAGATATGTACCGTTCAACATTCGAAATAGAAATGTGATGAATGTAAAAGTTTGATAAATTATATTATATGAATCGATCGCGCATTTAAAGTTGTAATCTTTGGGCTCTTTGATCAAGACAAGTGAAATATTAATATTTATTTCTACGATCGACATTATCCTATATTAAAATATCGAAAACATTATTTACAGGGTGAATTCATGATATTTATGGTCAAACAACTTAAGATCAAATTGAAATTACAAACGAGCGTTACCAGTTCATACAGCTCAATCGAAGAACTTGATTAAATTCTAGTTTACAGTGATCCATAATCAGTGGGTTGATTTGAAAGTTTTCAACAAATGTCTATTACTTGTGGACAAGATCAGATAAAAAAAGTGTGTCTAGTGTAAATCGACAGTGAACACTGGTTTATATTCATGACTTTTATCACAAATCATAATTGATTTAGAAAAAAATTTGACAATGTATGAAAAATGTTCGTTTACTTGACTGATTTATTTGCAATATAATTTAGTTAGTACACTTTTATTTTGTTCTCATTTCTTTTTTGAACAATAAAAGCTGCTGACCTCTATGTACTGTTTCTAATCAAAATATTCAACAAGCATTCATGTTCATCATACTTTTTTCCACAATTAATATCAATAACAAATGTATGCATAAGGATGCGTGTAAATCTAAGTGTAGATATTGCTATGTATACTGGTGTCAGGATAGAGATGGCTTTCAGTGTACAGAATCTTCTGACTCTTCTCATGATCTATTCAAACAATCACAGACATAGCTAAATTTAAGAAGCATCCACCACATCAACAGAACAACATCAATACTTCATTACTCACACCTAAACAAAAGTCTACATGCATGCCAACAGCATATCCAAGACCCACACCCATAGTCGGTCACAAACAACTGATTTCACTAAAATCAGATAGTGAAAACATCTCGTCGGTTGAAGATACAGTACAAAGTAGCAATCTTAAATGCTTCGTGTGATGTTTCAATGTGAATAAGTGACCATACACACGCATGCAAACAAGCAAACATATAAACTTATTTTATTTCGTGTGACACTTCTTTTAGTCGAGAGAAAATTATAATGATAGTTATTTCTTGATTATAATATTCAACAAACGATCTCTACAAGATATGATAGACTCATTCTAATGATTCCTAGAATTGTTGACTGCTTATTTCCAAAATCAGATCATTTATAATACAAATAATGTCCATTTTGATATTGTACGAAACTGTGAATATTTAATTTGGATTTACATTTGAGATATATTTTCGAAAAAAGAAGTGACGTCACAATATAATTCATGGATCTGTTTTGGATTTTATTAATCTACCTTTAGCAAAGATTTTAAATAAATAAAAACATACTTTGAAATTTTATATAAGTATACCTTTCAGAAGTCGCTAATAATAATACAGTTCGAATAAATAATATATCCCCTGGTCACTATTGCATATGAGACTGTCTTACAAAGAAAAGACGTTTTCTGTCCGATAAATCAACGAAATATACTCTCCGATATCAATTTTCTTTTTTATTTAACTAATCCATTTTTGATCAAGTTTCCATTTATTTTGTACAAGTTATAATAATCAATATTATTTATGTACATATAAACTCAGGTCAACATACCTGAGCCAATGAAAAATACCTACTAGTTTCTCTCTTAAATTAATATATATACAGTTAATTATCATAGACTAGTTTCCATCTGTCCGAAATTATAATAAATTTTCAATTAATGAAACTAGTTTTATTCGTATTATTAATCATTAGTGTTTTAACTGATGCAAAACGTTATAAATGTAATAAAAAACTTTCTTGTGGTTGTGGTCCATCAAATGTTGAAATAAATACACGTATTATCAATGGTGAACAAGCTATACAATGTAGTTGATCAATGGTTGTATCATTACGCTATGATTTTATTGAGAAGAATTTATCGATGCATACTTGTGGAGGAAGTATTCTGACAGATTCATATATTCTCACTGCAACCAGTTGTTGAGAAGCAATTATTGATGATATAAAATTTGCAAATATGAGTATTGCTACTGACATGCATAGTAGATCTGAGTTAGATCAAAACATACGACAAGTTGATCAAATTATAAGTCATAAAAATTAGACACGTTCAAGAAATGGATATCATCATGATATTGTATTGCTTCATTTATCACAACCACTTAATTTTCATATAAATTCTTGTATTACACGAACATGTCTTCCACCACAATTAAAGACTCCGAAAGAATTTATGGAATATCCACCAACAGATAAAAATTTAGTTGTTATTGGATGGGGGCGTACAATTTATTTTGGAAATCACTCAAATATGTTACAACAAACGGTAACTTTTTTAATTGATCATGATGACACTAAATGCAATAATATAGTCAGTGATTCAAAGAGACAATTCTGTGCAGGATTATCTTATACAAGCACAGGTTATAAAAAGATCATGTTCTTTTCGTGCTTCAATCTTACCTATATATATGTATATGTTTAGGTTCTTGTCATGGTATGTGACATGAAGTTATATTGCGTATTTTTATACTTATTTTATAATTAGGTGATATTGGCGGTCCAATATTTCACTGAAGCGAAGATAATTGGGAACAAGTTGGTATTGCATCCTTGATACCAGATAGTTGTAGAAAAAACTCTGCCATTGTTTATACACGTATTGCATATTATCGTGATTGGATTGAAAAGCATATAACAACTATTGATGAAGTTACAGAAGAAATACCTTTCACGATAACTCTTCCACCAAAAGATATAACAGACATACCTTCAACTATTTATCTATGTGATAAATACGCAGTACCATGTAGTTGTGATCGTCAAAGTGTTCAATTTCCTCAAACAAATATTGTGACTGCTAATGAAGCAATACTTTAGAGCTGGTCAATGATTGTTTCTATACGTTTGAATAGTACTAATAAACATGCATGTAGTGGATCAATTTTATCTGAATCTTATATTTTAACATCTGCTTCTTGTATTGCTAATGTACCATCATTTGGTATAAGTATTGTAACTAGTATTCATAATTATTCTGAAGAAGATGTAACATATCGAAAAGTTGATCAAATACTTTTACATCGAGATTATATAAAAATATCAGACAATTACGCAAATGATATTGCAATTTTGCATATGTCTCAACCACTAGTTTTCGATAATAATCCTTTTATTAGTCGAATATGTTTCCCTAAAAAACTTGAATCAATAGAAAATTCAATGCATTATCCACAACCTGGAATACTTTTAGCACTAATTGGATGGGAAACTATGAATTGTCAAAATAAAACTACTCAGGATTTACTTTAACAAGTTCAACTATATTCTATGAGTTAGACAAATAAATCTTGTTTTATATTGGAGAAACATCGTAATATTCAATTTTATGCAGGAGTAAAAGAAGGTGGTACAGGTTAGAATTTAAATTCGACATATATTTATCTATGAATGTATTAAATTCTTCTTGTTTTAGTTCCATGTGTTGGTATGTATAAATACTTTATTTTATGGATATTTTTTGTCTTTATTTTTGAAATATAGGAGATCCTGGCAGTCCAATATTTGTATGGTTGGAAGATCGTTGGCAACAAGTTGGAATTGCATCACATATAATCGATTGTGTTCCATTTAAAAATTCAGAAATCTACACTTGGATTATAGAATATAACGATTGAATTTCAATCAATCATTCATCATTGTTCAGTAACATCTTCACCAACATTAACCATAACTACGATTAGTACTAGTACGACAACTGCAAAGCCTCCTGTCTTATATCGATGTAATACAACATCAACATGTGGTTATAGTAGTACTCCTGAATCTTTAACGCCATCACGTATAGTTGGTGGTGAAAATGCTTTGAAATCAAGTTTGCCAATGATAATTTCAATGTATTGGATTTTTTGATAATTATCATCGTTGTGGTGGAACTATATTATCTAATTCTTATATTCTCACTGCTGCTCATTGTATACATGGACTTGTATCAAATCCACCTGTTGGTGTCACTGCTGCAGTTGGTATGACAAATCTTTCAGATTCAAAACAAATTCGACGTTCTGTTGACAAAATTTATATTCATACAAATTATATTGGTAGACAAAATAATTATCGTTATGATATTGCTTTAATGCATATTAATCAATCATTGATGATTGAACATAACCCAAATTTAACAAAAACATGTATACATCGTGTCAATCCACCAATATTGGTACAATCAATTTGTAAAAAACAGAATCATTTTCAGTCGCCTACAATTCTTCAACAAATAGAAGTTTGTGCGATTGATAATGAAGAACCAATGTGTATAAGCGCAATGAATGATTCAGAAATACAATTCTGTGTTGGATTACCAGATGATGGAAAAGGTTTGTCTATAAGAGATTTTTTTTTGTATTTAAAATTTATATTTTAATTTTATATTTTGAGAGTCTTGTCAAGGTAAGTTTTTTGTAATGAATTTGAATTTTATTTTATTTTGTAACATTGAATCAATGTTATTTGTAGGTGATTCAGGTGGACCTATATTCCAATGGACAGGACAATATTGGGAACAAGTAGGTATTGTTTCACATGGAAACGGTTGTGCAAAACTTCGTCATCCAGATGTTTATACTCGATTATCCTATTATTATGATTGGATAAATAATATTCTTAAAAACGATAATGAACATTTGAAACCACAATTTTCATTCTATGAAACTTCAACAGAACTTTATACGACTATAACAATTAATGAAGCAACACCGCATACAAAAAGTTATACTTATAATCATCAAGAAAAAGTTCTAATTTTTGCGATAATAACTGTATTCGTTAGTATTATAATATGATAAACATATTATAATATATTTCAATTGAGGATATAGCCTAATATTTCTACAGTGTATTTCAAACATTCATAAACAATTGATCATGTATTCAAAGATTGTATACCTTTCTTTTTTTAAAATTCTTTCCAATAATATAAATTTTCTGATTGCTATTATCTGACGTCAAATAATGTGGAGCTCATTGTAACTATAAAAAGAACTATATATGTATTTGTGTATCTCAGATACATTTCGTTTTCAAGATGAAAGATAAAAGAAACAACTGAATCTTAAAATACTCATTATCTGAAGTATTTTATTAACTGATGAATAGAATCTTGGCAAATTAGATTTATTTTTACCAAATACAGAAATCTGAATTAGTTACTAAACAACTTTGTTGAAATCGAAACGTATACTTTCCAAACAATGAATTATAAAATAATATATTGAACATACATTTTTATAGTTTTCAATCTCGATGAATTTGATATCATTGCCTCAATACTTCTCACATTTCTCGATAACAATAAATACATGTTTTATAAACAACAAACCAAAATATTCTCTTTAATTCAACACCTATAAAATTATGGAAAATCAGATTGACATCGAAATAGATAAGATCACAATATCGATATCTTATATATTTTTATGATTGATTGTATTTTCTTTTATTCATACTAAAGATCATTAAAAAAAAATTAGAAATAAGAGTAGTTCGAACTTCACCTACAAATCATTGTTCTTGGGCAAATTTTGATGAGAGGGGCAAATATTTACTAAACATGTTCAAAACAACTAGATTTTGATATTCTTTGTACAGATGGTAAAAAAGTATGTGACATCGTGTTAAATAATTCTTCGTCTACAAATCAAACGAATCAAAATCAAATCAATGTTACACACGAATTATCATTATTTAATCAAATAAAAATATTTAAACCGTTTGTTTTTGTCTTATATTCTAAAACAAACTCTGATAAGTCATTTTTACTAAAGAAAAAATAAAATTAAACACATAGAAAATTTACATATATTATTTCGAAAATATTCATTTTCATAAAAACATGTTTTTCAATCCAAATCATCCACATAGTTTTATTTCTTTCGTATTTTGTAATTTTGTAAAAGAAAAATGTTCACAATGTAGTAAATCTTCAACAATAGTTGAAGTGGCTGAAAGCATTATTTTTTCTTTCTGGAAATAGTGTTTTTGTTAAAGCATAATCCATTTGATAAAAATTGTTTACATTATAATACCTGAAAAAGTTTAGCATATCGTCAAATTATTTGAGACAACTGTTCAATTATTTGAAGAAATTCTAAACTCACAATCAACAGTTTCTGATCGGTTGACAAATGTGAACTTTGAAAGAAAAATTCAAATTTTCTGCGTGTGAACAGTAATTTCGAAAACTTTCTTTTTGTAACTTTTATTTATTTCGAAACAAATTTTCACAGTTAACAGAGTTAACAAAAGTAATTATTGATTAAGTTACTATTTTGAATGCGTCATTATCTAACCTTTTTTATTTGTCCAGTGACAATGATAATCACTAAAAAGATCGTATTATGCATCTGAAAGCATGAGAACTTCACATTTTTGTATAAGCTTCAACGACGAGAAAGTCAAAAACAAGCAAGATTTTCCTAACACTTATTATCATATTTCATATTCGTATTATCTATAGGTCACTATTACTAAAGCCAATAATCAGCTTCATTTCTAATTCAGTGACTTTATCTGTGGCTATTACACTGTGTAATTATCTGCACTAGTTTCAAAGTACTATTGTTATATGGAACTAAAATGTAATGACTTGCAAGTAATAACAGAATCAATTATATTTAGTACTTTTTTAAAGCATATATGAATTACATATTTCTTAAGACGGAAAGTCATATATGTCAAAACAATACCATGAGTAAAATGTGTAACTGTTCTTAAAGATAAAATACAACTAGAATGAACTAATAGCGTATTGACATTCTAACATGATTGAATTTTAAACATTGTCAACTTATATGATGAGTTACTCCGTTTTGTTATTCCATTCTCAACGTTTATGATTTATAGATCGATGTAAAAAAAAACTTTCTTAATATCATTCTGATTTAACTCTCTGTCTGTAATGCGGCATGAATGAACATGGATTTGTTATACTTCAATAGAACATATCAACACCCTTTATATATATATTGTATGATAAATCGTAATTGAGCACAAAAGTCTAACTGTGTTGTTTGAAGAGTCAAAAACTAGGCAGTGATTAGATAATTAGTTGATTGAATCAGGTTCTATGTCTTACAGAAATTGCAAGGTTAGATAAATAATATGGTTAGAAATTATATTTCTATTCATCTTTTTCTCTTCACTTTTACAATTGTTATTATGTAAACAGTTCATTCAAAACATGTTTGGGGGCATATGATTTAAGATGTTTTCAGAAGTAAACTGGAACGACGTAGTTGAAGAATGATGGCTGAATACTTGTTTTTTGTCATTTTTTTAAAAAAGTATCCACTTTCTTTATATATACTCGTTTTGTTGTTTCGTAAAATTGATTTGAAACAATTTTCACGCACTACAATAAACAAATAGTGAAAGTGTTTGAAAGCTTTTCGTTAAGTAAATACCATTCCATTACATTAATTATTGTTATTGAAATACATTAGCTCCCTGTCACAAACATCAATGGTATTGATGAAAGTGCGTGACAAAAAGCAGCATTGATCATGCCAACCGTCTCACAAGCTAGATGTGACTATCTACCTCAACGTCTTGTAAGTTCAATGGTCATCTTTTTTTTCTTCGACATATATAAAGTCATTCTTACTATTATAGCAACAGCAGCCCTATCGACAGCAGCTACAAACACAATCACCATCTAAGATCAATGTTGATCTTGACTCGGTAGTAAACGTCGACTCAAACATTGCTACGTAAGTAAAAGATTTCGGAATCAAACTCAAACTTTAGCTATTACTTGTTTCTTCATGAATGAAGGAAACGTGCTAGTGCTTTCCTAGAAACACCTTTATCAAAGGTAGCAACGGCGATAGTAGCTGTTGCTGTAGTAGCAGCGTGTGTTGGTGTGCCTGTGGCACTGACTGTTGGTCGAGCGACATCGAATAAAGGTAAATATCACGGTAAAAGTTATTAGTTTATTTCAAGATAACGAAAAACAAATCAATGGAAGTGAACTACTCTATGATGTAATTAAAAATTAAGCTACGTATAAATAAGTTGATGTTAATGTACGAGAATATTTTTTCTCTGTGTAGTACACTATTATTATTTTTTGAAAATATCATCTATTTAATGCATTCTTTTCTTTTTTTTAATATAATCAATTATTTCAGTGATTGCAGACATTCAAATCACTACTAGTTCTACTGCCAGTAACAACTAATTTCTATGTATGATAGGTGTGGAAATAGGTGAACAGAAAATTTACACACCCACACCCACACTCACACTTCATTTTGTAAAGAGTAATGACATACAATGAAGAAAAATAGTGAAGAAATACGGTAGTTCCTAAAAAAAAAAGTTAAAGTCTGAATGAAACAGGGATTGACACATTTATCAAAGTTAGCAAATATATTTCTGCAAGTACATCCAAATAAACCTAGCCAAAATTCTGTTAAAGTATATTGCAAAAGTTCAATTTCCATAAAATATATGAAAACTTCATAACGTCAGCAAAAGGGCGCAAGGACAGATCATCACGGACAACTCGACGCAGACAATTCTTTGCATGGACAGAACGTTGCTAGGACAAAGGATTGCATGCATAAAATTTTGCAACATATTTTCAGGGTGTGGATGTGAAAGAAGAGAAGATATCGATTCATACACCCACACCCTTACTTGCTACAAAATTGAATGAAGATGCGTAATTGTATTCTAGTACGAGGCATAGTAACTTTTTGTTCCTAAATGATTTGTCCTGTGAGAAAGGCTCCCGTCCATTGATTGATAAGTTGCTCAATATGTCTAGGTCTCGCTTCGGTTTTTTTTAATTGTGCTGATCAACAATTACGACCGTATTGTATATATAAGTTGAAAACATGGTATAATAAAAACATTATAAATAATTATTTGTACTTTTAATGGTGAAATATTAAATCATGTGACATATTTGAGTACACTTGTGTTAGTTTCAGCTTTCTCGAGAATCATAATACAATGATTGTTGCATCTTTGAAGAGATATGTACGTTCAGGAAGTTGTTTGTTGATAATAAGTGTGAGAGATAGTACCAATACTTGTCGATAGAAAGACTGTCATGGTGTTTTTGAAGAGTTAATTGACTTTTTCCATGTATTAGCATGAGCTTTAAGTTCGTGCAAATTCCATTAACCTAAAGATTACATGTTTTTCTTGAACTCTTGGCGATAACACCTTAGTGACGTTTTACTTATCAATTTAATGTTTGTAGTTTTGGTAATCACCAAACTTAATTTCAAATGATGATAAATGTGATTATTTATTTCGTTCACTAAAATTGTCGTTCAATAATGGTTTTGTCAAGTAGTGTGCTGTGATTATTAAAAGTTCCTGAAAACTGTCTTGATTCGATTGTGACTTAATCTTATATTAATTTCTTTCAAATAAGAAATGTGAATAAACTCATTCAAATGCTATGCATTGATGAGTCATTGGTTGTAATCGAAAAACGTTTATTAATCATATCTTTTATTTTGTTCTTTAAATTTGTTAATGTATCTTGCGAGCTAATAATAGAAGTAAATTAATAAAAAAAAATATACACTCAAAAGTATAGCACAGAAGAAAAACGTCGTTTAATTGGTTTTGAACTTAGTTTCATTTGTATTTTATTATGACTTAATCAACATTAGTTACCACAACAACAAGTATGTTACCCAATTAGTTTTCAACTTATTTCTAATATTGCTTTTCTTTACTATTATTATAGCTTCAACAACTAGTAGTAAGTTTTAATGCAGCTTTTTAAAGCATAAAAGTCATCGAATCTATTTTATTCCAGCAT